GTTCCAGCACGCTGTTGGGCATAGCATATGGGATAGTGTGAGAATGATTGGGTCTTATTGCGTGTGGGGACCGCATGATGCATTCCTTTTTTGAGTCTGGAGAGGTTTGGGAAATACATACACCATACATAGTGTTCTTGGGAACTATCCAGACTCCGGTTGCAGGTGCTTCTTGACAACCATGGCCAGGAAAGCACAACATCAAGGCACCATTCATGACATATTGCACCTGGGAACCGCATGATGCATTCCCTGTTCAGTCTGAATTGGTTTGTCAAATAAATACACCATGCATAGTGTAGGGAACTATTCAGACTCTGGTTGCAGGTGCTTCTTGAAAACAGTGACTTGGAAGAAAAAGCAATCTGAGAATGCCCATGACAATTGAATCGTGAGAGCAGAATGCCTCTCCCTTTTCGGGCCACTTCCAATTGCTGTCTCTTGCTTGGCGTGGTGTTCATGGCAATTGGAGGTGTGGACACACGTCAAGCCACACGACACAGCAAGCTTGAGCAAACTGCCCTAGCTTCATGAAAGTAGATCATATGTGCCCATGCGTTTTGCTTTCAGGTTCATATCAAGTAACAAGCCATTGCATAAACCAACTTATATAAGTGTTTTCCGCTAGGCACACCGACATGAGACAGCAAAGTGCTACCTGAGACAACTTAGGGCCTTCACCCAGTACTTGTTGTTCATGGCCCGTTTCAAGGTTTGTTTCAGGTAAGGTATGGTCGGCCTGCACTAATCCGGTACTTAATGCAGTAATTACTTCTAGAGTCAATGTGTCTTTGGAACCACCTTGAAGTATGCTCTTGCGAGCTCTTTCTCAAGTGTGTGTGTGTGTGTAAGATGAGCAAGTGCCAAAGGTATCTGAGGGCGTAGCATATCCACAGAAGTCATCAAACTTCGGCACCAATGATCGTGCAATTCTGAGGTAACTGGCCACCCGGCGGCTTGTACAGTACAGGACCCAAATTCTGCAACTTTGGTTCAGCGTGTATCAAGCCGTGTCGACAAAATTGCTTACATAAGTTAACAGAAATGGTCACATTATGAGTGTGTCTATATATAATGGACAGAATCTCTCGTTATACCATGTTATACCAGTCAGAAACTATTGGGGATGGTCATGGTCAACCCCCTTCCCTTTTCCTTTAATTACGAGTACATCCTAAACAAACCAGCGGGGACTGACCTAAAGCACAGGTTTTGTCCAATCATCATCATTGCGGCTCTAACATATCTAACCCTTCCGGATGCTCACTCTTTTGCCGGCACCAGCAAGTAGGAGGTTCCGGTCCTGAGATTGCCGATACAAGACGTACAAGACACTGAAGACAGTTACATAGCTTAACTTCGGACCTTTGTGCAAGATAAGCTTCTCAATCACTGCTTTTATCGGCTGCGGTTCAAGATCGTTGACTTTGCCGATGGCCTGGAGCGGTCTGTAGTCGACTGGCATTGTGGCAGAAACAAGGTTTCATCCCCTGCTTTCAGCCGTCAGTGGTTGTTGAGAATTACTTTTGATTTGAATGTCATAGTGAATAACATGTTGCGTGTTCATGCTTGTGAGCGCAACAAAGCCCCTAAATCCGCAGGTAGATTAAATGGATTCCCCACCACAAAATTTTACAGCACAATTTCCGCTTCAACAGGCAGCCATGGGTTATAAGGTGGGTGTCCTGATTCTTGCAAGTCTTCCTTTGTATAGAAATTGAAATGACCCTAGGAGAATGCGACATCATGTCTTGAATGCACAAGTACCAAAAGAAAGGAGCCCCACCTTAAACGCCCAAGCACCCTTGCAAGGACCTGTACCTGTTCAAGGCTGAATGGCAGCTAGACCCGCCAGTGACGGAGTACAGGAACAACATCAGAAAGAGCACTTGCAAGATTTTGAAGACTGTATATTGGAGTCTGCATGTTGGGGTGATCCATGGTCAGTTTCTTACACATACACTTGGAGGTGGTTGCGTCCTGTATCAGACAGCCTGGGGCCCTGGCGAATGTCCAAGGCATCTGTCCACGTGAATGGCCTCAGTGCTGAAAACAACGAGGAGGAACTCAAGCGCAAACTGCACAGTGCCAAACAACTTCGGAAGATAATCATAATCAAACTGCCATTAATATGTTCTTGGCGGTCTGAGGAGACACTTGCTTTTTGCACACACACAAAAAAAAGAAAACATTCCACCAAGTCATGCTTATTAGAACTTAGATCAATTGGTGACAAATGCAACCGCCGTTTGTTGCCTCTTGCTAGTTTGAAATTAATGTTTAAGCAACAACTCATCCGGGAATGGAAACTGAATTAGGCCATCGAGCTGTCACAGCTTGCCGGGGCCCGGGCCCAAAGGAGGTTAAGCGCTCGGGTTCTGCTCCCAAACAAAGACGGGCAGCCTGGCACTTGATTGCATCCCATCGTCCCAACGTCTGTGATGCTCGACTTTGCCACATCACTCAGTTCTACCAAAACACATACCTTAATCTGTTTTTGGTTGCGTACAGTATGTGTGCAGTCACAGGCCTTTTCTTCCAAGAAGCGCCCAGTTTGAGGAGCAAGAACATACCTAAAATGGTGCCAACATCCTCTGTTTCTCTAGCAACACGTTCATTGTTGCCCATCTACAACGGCAGCAATTTGACATTCTGCAGTCAGATAAAACGGAGATGTGGATGTTTGTCACACAGTCCTGTTTTGGTCCCCAAAGAAACTGCAAGGTCACGTGGCTGTGCGGCCAATGGATTCCAAGTTTTTATGGAGAGAAGGTCCTCCAGAAATTGGAAGACTCCTCCCAAAGCCAAAGACGCCGTCCTGCAGCACTTTGCAAAAGTATGTGGCCAAGTCTTCAACATAGTATGCAAAAAGAAATGCTGGTGTCTGGCGCATATATATATATATGTAGTGATCGACGAAACATCATATGAATGTCCTAAGTTAACCAGTGGTCATTTACTGACGACTATTGACAACTGCTATTGTTCTGCCTCAACTCGGCAAGAGTGATCTGCTTCAATGTACTCAACGCCACGCAAACAAAGAGTCCATTCAATTCCCAAGCTTCAATGAAGGCGGCACGGTCCCAGGATCGCTCACGTCGAGCAGTCAAGTCACCCTCTTCAGCCAAGATGAAAGGCTGCCTTGGCACCTGCAAAAGTGGCCACTCAAATCACGGGATCAAATGGAAGGTCACTTCGGCATGTTTGGTCTGTCTGCTACAATCTACTCTACAGAAGTAGGCACGATTAGGCATGCCGTGTGGTGTACAACGTCTTACTTCATCTTTGAGCGCAAGACGATTTCCGTGACGCATAATTCGTTCTACTATGTAATATGTTTCACCTTTGGGTTTCCACAGACCAGGCCAAGTCTTTAGCAACAAAGGCGCACGGAGTCAGATTGCCGACCGTGCTGAACAAAGCTAAGCAGTCTCAGGGATACGAGGGCTGATCTCTAGCGCGTGATTCACAATTCCTCTGGATTGAGCTTATTGAACCAGCATTTGCTCAACCATTTGGACTACTTGCTCATGGACTTGGTGGACTTGGAGGTTCAACTTCCTTTCACCTCTCTTTACCATTACACCATTACCAACTTCATTACATTACCATTCTTTATCGTTCCTCAACTCCTCAACTCCCTGCCAACACGTCAGGTCAGGTAGTGCGGTTTGGTGGGGGTTGTCTCGGGCATTCTCGGGCTGGTTGTGTCAGGTTTCTTGGTCGTAGGAGCCTACAACGTACCTGGAACCTTAAGAAATCAATCACTCATCTAAATCCAATCCCATCAGAAATGGTCCAGAGTATTCCAGAATCCTTGCTGGTCCTTGCTGAGCGGGCTAAGTCACACACACGCCTCAACTTCTCACGGTGCATTTTAAACGTTGAGCAAAGCTAGGCAATCTATGACCGCTCTCCTAACTGCTTGACATTCGTTGGATGTGCCTTTTTCCATGAAAGGCTTTCCAGTGAACCAGGTCCACCGGCAGTCTTGCAACCATTCATCAGCAACGCCACCACTTGTTCAAGCACTTGCTTAGCTCCCTGGACTACCATGAGAAGGTTCTCACAATTGGATCATACCGTATCCAAGACATGGCCGCCCCTTCCAAAATTTGGTACGCAGAACCAGGATCTTTATTGTTTGTGCTTGAATCATGCCTGTTCTAGTCCGCTCCTTTTGGTTCAGTTCATTCTTCGAGCTCCCTCTCTCTCCCCTTTAGAGAGAGAGAGACAGAGATATTTCAACGTGTGAGACGAAAGCGCTTTAGCTGCCCTTGAGGAAGCTGAGGCCACAAACTCTGCATGGCGAAGGGAGGATGATGTTTCACCAAATATATCCCTACGGAGAAAGACCTGATTGAAGATCGAAAGCCATTGTGCCACTGCTGACATGTAGTGGAAAACATTTCTGCTCTTTCCCTTCACATCCATTCACCTACATGACAAGTTCTTACTGGCTTAAATCGGCCCGACTACGATCTTCCTTGTTCGCTAATCCCGACATTGACATTGGACACTTTAGGTCCCTGCATCACTGCATCGCGCCATGAAACAATTCTGGCAAGCAAGCAGGTGGTGGACCAGCACATATTAAGTTGTCAATGCTTTCCTGAGACGATTCGCCGATGTTCATGCATGCTGGTATGCCAAGAGTATTTCCACTTGGGAAGGTCGCCATGCCCTTCTCTGCTTGATTCTTTCAAGTGGCCCATTGGACGCACCTAAGAACTAGCAACGCCTTAGTTTGGCGGGGCATGCAAGACACCTATGTGTCCTCACACAAGCGCGTCTCTTCTTCCGGCCTCCATGTCGACAGGCCGTAGAGTACATGCCCCAGAAGAAAGAACTATCGCTCACAACTGGTGGATCTCTCCACCAAAAATTGACCCACAAGCAGCATATCATTGCAACTCTGTGTATGATGCATCTTGATCTTTTGGAGTAGAACATCGGGAAACCTGTTCTCTAAAGAACAATTGTCCACCCTGTGAGCATCATTTCAACCGGTTAAATTTATTGGCTCTCCTCACAGATTTCTGCAGCGTTTTATTTTGAGCTCTTAGCCTCGGCGAGTTGCAGATATGCAGGTCAGAACAAGACAGATTTCTCCGGCCTTACCTGTTGCAGTAGAAGCAAATCACTATGGTTCGCAGCAAGATTCAAGTCAAGTGACACCTCTTCTGTGTCTTTTCGCACCATTAGCCTGAACTGGAGCAAGTCCTGACAGCAAGCCGCATAGGTAGGCATGACAATCTATGGTACGATTCCAATGCAAGGTAGAGCAGTTAGTATGACATACTAGAAAAGAGCTGGCGAACAGGAACATCCTTCGGAAAAGGCTTGACCTCTCTTCCTCAACATGGATTTATATATGCACTCGTAAGTTACGCACTCCTTGATGGTGACCTGATTTGTGCGTCGGAAAGCTTGAATCTGCGTCACAAACTCATCCAAGCCCAACCGCCTGAGACACGCAAACGGCACACTTCCCCACTTCCCCCCATTGGACTTGAAGGTGTTCCCGAGTCTGCCCACTGTTGTCGCTCTGGGCCGCTCTGGGTCTAGTCTACAGCAGCTTCCAGAGGAATTACTTAAAGCTCCTCAAGACAAAAGCACTATTGTGGTCACTGTCAAGACTTTCAATTCTTCGTTCGAGATACTCCTGGCCACCAAAGATCAAATCCTGGGCTGGTAAATCATTTCTGAACATACATTCAACAGATCCTTGCACCAAAATTTGCTTGAATGATGGCCACAAATTCCTAGCAGGTGCCTCGACCTCCTTTCAATTGTACCAACCGAAAGGAATCAAGAAGTGTTCATGGTGCTTAAACGCTGCAATCAGTTGTCCAGAAATTCTCAAACGGTTTAAGCAGCCATGTCATGAAAAACACCTTCATGTCATCTTGAGTTCCTTGAGATCGCACCTTTTTGGAGATCTTGAGTGTTGTTTGTGCTTTGACTGTGTGATCAATTCAATGTTCGGATGTTGTTGCATCAATCTTTGAGAGCTAAGGGCAGGTCCACTTCGTTGATGAGAGCAGGAACATCAATGTCGGCTTCATGTAGTGCTTTCCTTACATAAAACTCCAGCTTTAGCCATCTTCATTGGTTACTTGACTGCGTTTCCAGGTTTACAAGTTCAAACACATTTCTGGATGACTTCCAGCGTCCTAAAAGAACTGCCTCTGACCACTATCTTGGCTGAGAAACAAAGGTACATGTGACATGTGCTGATGTGCTTGATGGATCGAGTCTCCATGTGCAGTTGTATGGTACAAGAATCTACCCCATATACACATATATATATATATTTATACTCATACACTCATGCATTCAAACATTCATCCATTTGTGCATTCATACATGTATACACTCGTGCATTCAAACAGTCATACAACTTCTACATTAATGCATTCATACACTCATGCATTCAGACATTCATCCATTTGTGCATTCATACATTCATAAACTCATGCATTCAAACAGTCATATAACTTCTACATTCATGCATTCATACACTCATGCATTCAGACATTCATCCAGTTGTGCATGCATACATTCATACACTCATGCATTCAAACAGTCATAAAACTTCTACCTTCATGCATTCATACACTCATGCAATCAGACATTCATCCATTTGTGCATTCATACATTCATACACTCATGCATTCAAAAAGTCATACAACTTCTACACTCATGCATTCATACACTCATGCATTCATACACTCATGCATTTATACATTCATCCATTTGTACACTCATACATTCATACACTCATGCATTCAAACAGTCATACAACTTCTACATTCATGCATTCATACACTCATGCATTCATACATTCATGCAATGATGCATTCATCCATTCATACTTCATACATTCAATTATCCATGCATCCATGCATGCATCCATCCATCTATCCATCCACCCACCTATCCATGTATGCACATGCATGCATGCACGGGCATTCATTCATGCATTCATTCAGCGTTTGCCACTTGTATTCAGCACAGTGTTGAAACTTCCCTGCACAAAAGGCGACACAAACGTGTGCCAAAAATTCACCTTGCTCCATGGGAACCAACATTTGCACATTCTGTCCTGTCCATCGAGCCCAAGGATCACCATGTTCGGTTGCTTCACCAGTTTGGCAAATTCCTCCACGTCTACCTGAGCTTGCAGCAAATCATTCAATTCTGTTTGACGTTTTGGATCCGTATTGACTCTTCGCCAAAGGTGATCCAATGATGAAAAACAGACTTGCATCACAAATCATATGTTGATGTTCTGTCATACTATATAATATATAATATATATATATATGCACAATCCCTACTGCACTTGTGTGAATGGCGGACAGTTACCTCACCCTGCAAACCTCTCTCACTTGCCTGCAAATCTGAAAGCAATATATACAGTACTAGTATGAACTTATTTCGAGAAATTGTTGATCAGGAGCATTTCCATCATTGTTGAGGTCCATGGCCGCGAAAATCTTTCGGGTCCTGAGGTGCTCATAGAGGAGTTGACAAAAGATATGCACTCAACTGACAGTTCTCAGTGCTTGGCCTAAGTTGCAATGGGAACCACGAACCTGATCTTATATAGAATCATATGTATCAATATGTAATATGTTATATCACTATATATATATTCTATTTACATATAAAATCATATATATATATAAATAGTCACATAATATCTCCCGAAACTTTATTGGCCCTAACATTCCCTACCAATGCCACAGCAAGGTTTGGCATCAAACAACCCTTTTCGCTCCAGCGAAACAAGCAATGTACAGTATCACCAATAAACAGCGCCTTCCGTCTTCCGTGCTGACAATCTGACAAGATATACAAATTGCACTCTTGAACTGTTGCAAACTTGGCAATTCTCGACAGAAACCCAAGTCGCGAGAACATTGCTTCAACAACAAGAAGTAGGTCGATGCTTGCAGCTGAGCCAAGACACTGCTCGTGGAGGAAGGCAGTTGTGATCGCATCATTCTCCACCTGCGAGAGCACCTGTAAGACCTGGGAACGGATGGTGGAAAGAAAGATCTGTTTACAAGCTGTTTGGAAAAGTCGTTTTAACGGTTGCTTTCTGATGCTTTGTGCCCTGACATGACATAGACTCCATGGTTGATCAGCAGATCAGGTGATTGAGTACATCCCCACCTGGACCAGGACTCCAACGAGCATGTTCATAACGGTCAAAGGAGCCCTCAGTGTCCAAGTATTGTCTTGGATTGCCCAACCAACCACCCTGAATAGACTCAAAGGGGTGCGTACCTGCAGCTCTCCGAACCTATTGAAGGAATACATGCAATGCACTACCAAATTTCGGGCAACAAAGCGGTTACACGTGAAATGGTTCATTGGATTCATGATCAAGACTCATACAGTTGATCCAAATTGATCCTTTGCTAGTCTTCCCTAATGTGTCTGCGCGAAGGCTAGAATTGGTACAAACAGACAGAGTCGCAGCAATCTGAGTACCCAACAACAAAAGGAAGCTCATCAGCAAAATGCCAAAGATAAAGCTTTCCTTGCATGCTGTATCACTGGCATCATTCAAAAATAGAACGCAGCTTCTGATGAAGGGGGATCTTTCGGCTGTGTCGCATCATTGAGCACAGACTGTCCAATGCCAGCAAATCCGACACTCCCGATTGGACCACTCCTTACCCTGGCACGTTCTTCTTTCTCCCCTATCCTCTCCACGTTCCAGCTTCTAGTCCACTGGCCCCTTTGCATATTTACTGGCATTCGGCATTCACATCAGGCTCAGCGGTTTGTCATAAGAAAGGGTTCATGCATCCAAGGTCCTGTCGCAAATAACTTGCCGTCCATGTCAAGTTTATGGTCTATCTTTGCTCACAATTGCAAAGAAGGAGAGGGACATGATGAAACATGAAACACATTATATACATCATACATCCACATGACCAAGCAGTGAAATACCAAGCTCTATTAAAAACTGAAGCAAACACATCACAACCTGTGCCAAGCATCTGCAAACATCATCTCGGCAAGCATAGAAATGCCATCAAAAAAGCATCCACTGTAGAAGAGGGTAAACATAGATTGTGACAAAGTCTGAAAATAGACCTCAAAGCAAATGGTAGCAAAATCGCAAACAATTCACAGAATCAACAGTGTGATTTGAGTTTTTTTTACAGTATTTTAATATCTCGATTGCGTTTTGCTAAGATCCTTCAGCTTATGATGTCAACTTTGATGTCAACCGTTATGCTCTTTTGTTTGGTCCGTAAGAGTGGCCTCAATCAGACAATGTTTGTCGCAAACATCGTCCGAGGACACCCTTCCAGGTCCTTCCCCCACTTGTCCAAGCAGCTGAGCCCACGTTTGTGTCCTGCGACTGCACGCATCAGGCATGTAATGTGGGTTTGCTTCAGATCAGATGTTCTTCGCTAGTAGGTTGGAGGCCATCGCTATTAGGTCGGAGGCCATCTCTTCTAGGTTGGAGGCCAGCGCTAGTAGGTTGGAGGCCATACCTCTGTGTAGCTTGCTTCTCGGCCACTACGCTTTATTCAGACACGAAGCACAGGGACTTTAGGCAGCATGTGGCAAAGTCTGGCGTTAAGCTACTATTGGGTAAAGATCTATGATTTTCAAGGCGCACAAAGCACTGCAAAGGAGTCCTTGCAAAGATGCTTGAAGGCTATGCCGTACACCTGAATTAGAGTTGTTCGATTGCTCGATGTTGCTCATGTGATTTATGGTCAAACTTCCCGTCTAGAGTGATATTTAGAGTCTGGAGTGTAATTGTTCAGTATTCAGTTACAAATTAGGGTCCATGCGTAATTACCATCTCAACATAGACAGACGCAATGCCAAGATTCCAGTAACAATATTATAGCTATATCTGCCTGTGTTTGACCAATCCATCCAACTGCAGCTAGTGACATAGATCAGGAGCCCGAGCATGCACAGTGTGAAGAAGACCGAACCTCAGTGGATGTCAGTTGCAATGACGACTCCGACAACCAGCCACCTATTTTAGATAATTGATGACAATTGTACCAGTCCATTCCCACACAAGCTGGATGACGCAGCAACTAACTAGCATTGAAAGCGTTCGAACCCGTCAACTGATGCAAAGATCAACCGAAAACCTGAGTTTAGCCAAGCAGCGAGAAGCAACTCCTAAGCCTTTCACTAGGATGATGACTTCAGGCATGTACCGAAGAAGTCGAACCAGCCGAACCATGCGGAAGAACCTCGCAGCGCGATGCTCAAAGGAGCATCGAAATCTGATGTTATCAATGGAAAAATTAGGCCAAGGTTCTTGAAAATTCGTGTCAGCCGCAAGAAAGCCGGGTTGAATGTGGAAGGCGTGGTCGATTCCAGTGCCAGTTGAATAATAGCAAGGGCCCAGATTTCCTTGTATGATCAATCAGCACAACGATGACAACTGACACAAGAACTTTTCAGCTGGGTATTTGGGCACTAGTTGAGAAGGGAGATTTTGGGCCCACAAACGCAATGACCCTGTGTCACAGCAACAAACGGATAGGTTTAAAGATTTTTAAAGCTGAGGTGCACTTTTCTTTCAATCCCTGGCTCAAGCAAAACTAAGTTCGGCTAGAAACGAGCGGCTGTGGTGGGACATACATCCACAATACTATCTACAATGATACATGTAACTGGTGCTACATCTGATCACGCCTCCCGAGTTTAACATCTCTCAGAAACTAAGCGAGTCAGGACTAGCACAAAGAGTGAGTTAGCTCGTAGCATTTCAGTACATCTTCGAGAACAAGAAGCACATACCCTGGCTCAAGCTGTCTCAAGCTCTCAGTGTGAGCTCACGCTCACCTTCCAAGAAGTTGAAATTCATGCCTCTCTCTCATGGCAGCGTTCATCTTTTCTTCGGCGACAGGTTTCGTGAGGCAAGCAAGCGGTCGGCGCTCTCTTTCTCCTGTACCGAACGAATGGTACTGGGTGTCGCGTTTGAGGCCTCGATGACTTCCCAGCGCAAGCGTCCACCTCCTTCTTGGAATGGGCGTGCATCCCAATCCTTCGCAGTCGAGGAAATAATTTGACACGCTCCTGACACAAGACCTAAGTACTCAGAGTCGCCGTGCTCATTGGCCTTTGCTGAACGTCGTGAGACAACACTTGTTGGCCATGAGCACGCCTCCTGCCACACTCTTTCGTGACCTTATGCAACCTGCATGGTCGGCGTCTGACCACATGTTGAATGGGTTGCAGGCGCTTTGATTTGGGAACAGCTGCGCTTGGTCGATATCAAACATATCACGCCAGTCATTCCACTTGCAACTCTGCACGTCGCGGATCTAGTTCCCACCAAATGTTTTCATTCGACCAGGCGATGACGCGATTCAGCAGTCTGATGTTTGGTGATCCAGGTGGACCAAGAATGCCTCGTTCCACAACTTGCCAATTCTTTGGCTGCTGAAGTGTGAAACAAAAGAGCAGCCGCGCGCCGCTGAATTCAGCCGTCAAGCCTTTTAGTCAAGCGCGCCGGAATAACGGCTGTCTGCGTGTGTCACAAACCCTGCTTGAGCTCGCAGAACCCTTCCTTTCGACTTTGCTCCAAATTTATGAATGTACAGTTGAATTGAACTAGCAGCGGGGGTGGCAACATCAGCAGCAACTGTAACTTTCACCAGCGCGCCGATGAATTTAATTTGCAGCTGAAAGCGTACTAAAAATCACACCGGCAACATCAGCAGCAGCAGCAACTTCGCATCCGCCGGCACCAGTGGCAGCAGAGCAGGACCAGCAACATGCCCAGCAAGCAGGCAACAGCCAAACGAAACAGAATCAGAAGCGCAGCCAGAAAGCACACTGGCGACATCGGCAGCAGCTGCAACTTCGCATCCACCGGCACCAGTGGCAGCAGAGAGGCAAGACCAGCAACATGCTCAGCAAGCAGGCAACATACTATGCACAAACTCGACTTGCCAAGCGCTTTATCTGGCACCTTCCCTCCCTCCTTCCGTCCTTCCTTCATTCATTTCTGCTGCTGCTTCCCTCATACTGCACCAGCAGGAGCGCAGTGCTTTACCAAGCCTTTGGCCTGCCACAAGATGCCACAAGCCTACGTTTCTGGGATGGCATCTCCTGCCAGGTAAGCGCCAAGAAAATCCAAGAAAACGTCCAAACACCAATCCCTTCATTATCTTTAGCAACAGTCCGGATCAGTCAACTCACGGCCCACAATCCTTCTAGCTCGCTCAGCCCCATTGTGATTCACCACCAAGGCGTGAATGACTCTTCCTGTATCTCCCGACGACGGCTCATTTTACGAGCCAGGCAACCGACCGCCGACCGCCCTTCCTTCGAACCGGGGACATGTGAGTCTGGCCGCTGTTACTTCGGTTCGATGGGGCAACAAAGAACAATGCCGATAATCGAGTTCAACCAAAAAAGGGCAGCGGTGCCGCTGCATGTAGCCGTCAGGCCTTTTAGTCAAGTGCGCCGGAATAACGGCTGTCTGTGTGTGTCAAACCCTGTTTGAGCTCGCGGAATCCTTCCTTCTTTCGAGTTTGTCCCAATTTTATGAATGTACAGTTGAGCTAGCCTCGGGGGACCACTCCACCCACCACCAGGGAGTGGCCAACGAAGAGCCTGGTGGCGCGGTGCTGAAAACGTACCCGCGCTTGAACTAATTTCTCCTTGGACTTGGTCCCTGCTTGTAACTACAACAAGACTTCGTCCTTTTCATCGGTTTGCATTAAAGAGCTAACGTGGTAAAGCGCTATAATAAGTTCTGTTCTGTGCTCTAAGTAAGGGTCAAGCTGTTCCAATCCGGCGCTTTGCACTAAAGGGCTAAGGTGGTAAAGGGCTAATGCACTCGGGATTCGGTAACTGATTGAATGCACACAATGACTCCAATGGTCCTCCCGTGTGCAGGCTGGTACACAGGTCCGCCAGGTCATGTTAAACTTTCCAGTTGAGCTGACGATTCACCTTGCGGTTCCTGCGAGTCAAGGTCTATTGCAGTAACGTAAAGCGCTAATGCAGCGGCGAATAGCCTGCTGAACTTTATGCTCATTCAGTTGAGCTACCTTGAGGACCAAACCTAGTTGTAATTTAACCTAGTTACGGTCTACTTATGTTAACTTGTTCGTCAATTAAAAATGCTTGTATAACAAAAGTAGATATAAGTAACTTATAAGTAGAAATAAGTAGAAAGAAGTAGGTCGTGCTGTAAACCTTGTTTTTTGTTTTTAAAAGTTATTTTTGACAAAGAGCCTGTTTGGAAGGGGTGATGGTACTAAGTTGCTCAAGACTGTTCACTTTCGATTGATTTGCAATTATTTTAAGAAACATTGTTTTTTAGAGTGGAAACCCTATTTTTTACGTATTAACAGTATTTGCTCATATCGAGCGGGCACACCGCTGAAGAGCAACCAACGTGAGTGTGGTGTGTTTGCTGCGTGCGCGTGTTTACTTGTTAACACGCGTGTAAAGATATACGTGTATGTGTGGATGTGATGTAGCGGGCACACCGCTGAACGCATGACCATGTAAATATAGACAAGAAAAGTATCTACTTCGAGTAAAGACATGTCCTGAAGCGGAAGACACCGCTAAACAAGTTTCCGTGCCTTGGCGTAGCTGCCCTTTTTCATGCGTCCCAAAGATGTGAGCGGTATACTGCTTGCGCTACGAAAAAATTCTTCAGACATGGAAAATATACTGCGAAAATTTGAAAGATATTCTAAAGAGGTTCAATAGATATTCTATAGATATTCTATCGATAGCGTAGATATACCATAGATAGCATAGATATTCCATAGATAGCACAAAGATTTGTGAGTATGGAACTTATAAAATATTTTGCCGATAGCGTAGGTATTCCATAGATAGCATAGATATTCCATAGATAGCATAGAAAGCACATCGATAGCATGGCGTAGGTAGCACATTGATAGCAAATAGATATTCAATCGATAGCATAGGTACTCTTGAGCTAGAAGAGCGGTCACACCGCTAAGCAACCCATGACTTAAGATGCTGGAGCTATACTTACCGCTGACACACCAACGTGTGCAGCGGCCGCGTGCAGCGGTCACACCGCTCATTTACTTACAGCATGTATAAACACACGTAACGTGAGAAAAGAAAACATATTCTATACCTATCAAACTCACCACATGGATCTTCAAATTCGACATAAACAAAGCAGCCGACACAAAAAAAATACGAACATCTAAATAAAATCGTTCACATTGCAAAAGAAATCAAAAAAACAAAAAATATGTAAATAACAACACGTACGGCATTTTTTCAAAAACCTTGCAAATTGATGCAAAACTTCTGGCAAGACACTGCAAACATTAAAATTCGCAAGGAAAACATAACTAGGATAAGTAGAAATAAGTAGACATAAGTTACTTGCCCTACTTAAACCCGAAAAAAATAGAATTAAGCAAACCTACTTATGTTAACTTATTAACTAACTTATCTAGGCCTTAAGTAGGTACAAGTAGGTTATAAGTTCACCAAACCTAACCCTACTTGTAAGTTACTTAACCATGTTAAAACCTACTTACAAGTAGTACAACTAGGTTTGGTCCTCAAGGTATATATCTATATAAGTGCGTGTAAACATCTAAAACAAGCAGTTATTAGTTTCTTTTCAGTTTCTTTGTTCCCGAGAGAGCCTGCGAAGGGTTCTTCATAAAAAAAATTGCAGAACTACGTCTCATCTACATCTTCACATCTTCACCTCTGCGCATCCACATTCTCACCTACAATTAGGGGCCCCCATAGTTACGAGACTTATAACTTAAGATACGGGACTTATAGAAGTTAAGTTATAACTTAGTTATAACTAAAGTTACGGAAGTTATTAACTTCCGCAACTTCCGTAACTAGTTTGAGCGTCAGAAATGATTAAAAATTGCGAATCAGGTATGCGTATGTGTAAAACCATATGAAATGTATAGAAAATGGCTATAGCCTGATTTTTAAAATTCTTCTTGTTTTTGATGCCAGGCAGGACTCTTTCAAAATGTGTATATGGGCCGCCAAACAAACAAACCAGAACAAGGCGGAATGCCGGCAAACAAACAAAAGACAACAAGGCAAAATGCCGCCAACCAGGCACAACACAACAAGGCGGAATGCCGGCAAACAAACAACCAAGAGGCGGAATGCCGCCAAAAAAAAGAGGCTGTGATCTGTGATTTGAAGCTCACCTCTTTTTGCGCTACTCCAGGCACACAACTCGGT